TTTCATTTGTTTTAGATTATTAGGAGTATCAATTATACTCCTTATAGTCTAATTCCCTGTCCAGAAGCTCAACTATTAAGCATACTAAACCATATACTTTGGATATTTGAGATTAACACTTTGCTACTGGCTGACCCACTTCTTTAGGGACTACTTATATTATTTAGTTCCCCTATGCAGCTATACAGCATTAGCATAGCCTTTATACTTATATGGAAATATGTTTTTTAGAGGCTCCCTTAAGAGTGTCTTCAAATTTGCAGAAATGTATGGCAAGAGGCTCCTCTAAGAGCGTCTTTAAATTTGCAGAAGTGTCTAGTAAGACGGCATTTCATAGCATTGTATCTTTGTTTCAATATATTAACAAAAAATTCATTTTCTGTTAACAAATACTAAGACAACATGAGCAGAAATCCACTTGATCCCTTATTTAATCAGCAGTAATACGAGGATACAACTGGCCTCATTATCATCACTGGCTTACGTTTAATTATTCAGTCAGTTTACTATGACTGTTTACGTTCCTTTTGGTACACGCCCATATGGGAGGAGTTATTAAGAACAGGCAGACTGCATCTGCTCAGATTCCGTCCTGTTTCTCCTCCCTCTCTTATTATATGAGGATGAAGGGCAGAGCTCAAGCTCTAAGGGAATGTTCCATTGGCATCATGACGTGGCAATTTAGACCCGCCTCCTAGGGGAGGACCTAGTAGATCTATGACACTGCGGCAGGATCCGCCTCTATCCTACTTCCTTCCGATACTCACACAAGGTAGAGGGGAGGAGTCTCCGCCCTCTGACCTAGATGCAGTTTTTTCCCCGCCTACGCCAAGCCTCCCCGCTCACCTGATAAGGATCCCCAGCTGATTTTGGGACTCCTCGGATTGGCCCTTGGATCTTTTAAAAACCATCACAGCAACTATGGTATTTTCTATCCCCTGACGAAGGTGCAACTTCACGCACCGAAACGCGCGTCAGGTCCTTTGTTTCGCTGATGGTAGCAATAGGTGTTTAGCACTTCTATATTTTTTATATATTTTTTTTCTTTCAGGCCGGAGTTTGTTTAGTTTTTGGGGGATGTTTAGAGAAAGTTTCTCCATTTATTAGGGACAGTATAGAACACCCTTGAAGGTGTTTGTCTCAGGAGCCAACAGGGCTGTTTAGCTTTGTTTTATTTGTTTTGGGAGCCTGTTCTAGTATACAAGATCTTTATACAACCAGTATATAAGATTTCTCAAGGTGTCCGATTCAAGAGCAGACAGCCTACTTCTTTCATTTTGCCAAGTGAAAGAAGTAATGGACCCATATAGTTGAAGGACAGTTTTAATGCTAGTTGGTAGGCACTGGAGGATGTAGTGTTCAGGTGCTTGTGGTTTTGAAGCATCATTAGGACAGTATAATACACCCTTTAAGGTGTTTTATTTAGGAGTTGACAGGGATTTTAGCACTGCAGTATTTGTCTAAAGCCTCCCTTTACCATTTAACCTTTACAGTGTCTTTCAACTATATGGGTCCATTACCTCTTTCATAGACTTGGATATGTGTACGATCCCCATTTAGCAGACTTTCTCTCACCAGCCAATTTCTTTATTGGTGTGGATAACTTTTACTTTATGTTTACTGCCCTTTGATCTATACTTGATTCCTCTATATAGGCACTATCATTGTCCTTTTTTGCTTCACTGAATATGTTCCATCTATAGTGCCTCTTTTCTACATAATAAAGCGTCTATTAATTTTCGCACCTCTTTGGAACGGTTATATGTGATCAATCAGGTTAGGTTACCCCCATTACTACTACTCCGTGCTGATTTACCAATTTGCTTATAGTATATATTTGTAATCATCATTATTGTCCTTGACTTTGTTTTAAAACCAGATTTGAGCCTCTTTCCTTTGAGACTCTTATTTATTATTTTTGTTTTCTTTACAATATTTGGGGTATAAGCCCCTCATGGTGGTTCTGGAACAACCATACTGACCTCTGTGGGTTCGATTCCCATATTCTGTGAGAGCGATACACACAGTCTTTCTCCTTTTTCATACTGAGAACCAGGATACTGTTCCCCAAAGAACTGGGGAAGGGGGGGGGGAGTAGGGAAGAGGGTCGACCCATGTTGCCTCTACCCATTTTATATGTGTTATCTAATTTTGTGTCATTTATCTTGATGTATCATTTGTGGTTTTCCATGACACTACCATTCATTATTGTTCATTATTGTTCGTAATCGTTGGAGCCTTTACTCTGTATTAGTGGGTTTGTGGCGTGTGTTGGTGCCTGTTCCACCTTTCCCACGCCATCCTCCAGTATGCCTGTGGGAGTCTATGTGCTCTAGCCGCCATTTCATACTTTTTTGTATCTTCAATTTGTTGAATGCATTCATTTATGTGCAGAGGTTTTGTTTGCAACCATTTTCTGCTTATATTTGTGAGTGCGGCGGAAGTAATGTTACAATATCATCCTACTATGTTCTAGGAATTGTATTATATTTTGTCATACAGGTTAATTGGTAAGCTGTCAGCTTTTTTAATGCTAGTTGGTAGGTACTGGAGGATGTAGTGTTCAGGTGCTTGTGGTAGGTTAATCTTGGTCACCTTTTGTATTAGGGAGTGTATGTCTGTCCACATTTTCCCCAGATCTGGGCATGTTCACCACATGTGCAGCATTGTCCCTGGGTGTTTGTTACATCTCCAACAAATCCCTGAATGTGCCGGTGTAATATTTTTCATTTGTGTAGGGACTAAGTACCAGCGGTACAGTATCTTCCTACTTATTTCCAAATGGGACGTGTTCACAGTTAGGGTTTTGTTTGCGCAAAATATGTGTGCCCATTGGTCGTCCGTTAGTCTCTTACCCAATTCTGTTTCCCAAGCTTGGACAAATGTAAGGTCATGTGGGGATTTTGTTAGATAGTTTTGATTGTATATCTTAGATAATGGATGTGAAGGCTGTTTGTTCTGTAGGCTTATTCTGTAGGCGAGGATATAGAGTATTGGGGATAGTGGGCATCCTTGACGCGTGCCGTTTTTGATTTCAAAGGGTTGGGACACAAAGCCTCTGTTCATTATTTGGGTGGCAGGTGTAGAGTAAAGTGCTGAGATTAGGCCTTGAAATGCGGGTGGGAAGTCAAATTTTTGCAGGACTGCTCGGAGGAAATTCCAGTGCAACATGTCAAAAGCCTCTTCGGCATCTAATGACATAAACACACTGGGTTGTTTGTGGGCCTTTTACCATAAAGCAGGCTGTGAAGTTTTCTTGTGCCCCCTGTCTCCCCTTCACAAACCCCACTTGGTCTGGGTGTATCAGGGAAGGTATGATGGTCGTTACTCTAGTAGCGTATATTTTTGCAAGGATTTTTGTGTCGGTATTTAGTAGGGAGATGGGGCATAGATTTTTTCGGCTGATCCGGAGTCTTCCACGGTTTTGGTAATGTGGTTATATGCGCAAGTAACATCTCTGGTGGCATGTTTCCCGATTGTACTATGTTTTTTAGTGCTGTGACTAGGTGCAGTATGCAATGTTTTATAATATTCGTTGGTGAAACCATCTGGGCCGGTGATTTCCCTGATGGTAGTGAATGTATTGTCTGCATCAGTTTTTATAGTGTGATTGGTTTTTGTAGACTTTCTTTATGCAATTGCGTGAGAGCCGGTAGTCTTATGTTGGCGAGGAAGTTTTGTATTTCAGTGTGATTGGGTTGGTGTGTCTGTGTATCGTCCCGCAGATTATAAAGACATTTGTAGTAGTTATCAATCATTGTGTTAATTTCTCGGGGTCGTATATTTTCCCTCCTGCGTTATTGAGTATGTATGGGATTTTTAATTTTGCTTGTTTCTGTCTCAGCATTGACGCTAGCGCTTTGCTAGCTCTGTTAACCTGTGTGTAATGCCGTAATTTGAGTTTGTGGAGGTTCTGGGCCGTTTTGTGGAGCAGCAGGTCATTGATTTGTTTAGTGGTATGTGCAATTTCTATTAGTCTTTCGTCTTTGGGTTTTATTAATTGTTCGTTATTGAGATCTGGAAGCTCTGTCAATAATTGTAGATATTTATTTTGTGTGCTCCGTTTTATATACGCTGCTCTACTTATGAGTAGTCCTCTAGTTACTGCCTTGTGGGCTTTCCATAGTGTGGTGGGCAGGAGCCCCGGATTTTGATTTGTCTGGAAATAGTCATTTATGTCTGTTTCTAATTTAGTTTTAAAGTCTGCATCAGTCAGTAATGTGTTGTTCAATCGCCAGGGGGGTTTCCCTCTGTGGTTGTAAGTGTCGTGGATTGTGAGTGTTATCGGGGCATGATCTAACCACATGTGAGATCATATCATGTGACACCAGAATGTGATCTATTCTAGAATGCGTTTTGTGAACCGCTGAGTAGAATGAATACCCTCTCACGTTTGGATGAAGGGTACGCCAGATGTCGTATAGGCCATAAGCTGAAATAAGTTTAGTGAGGGCCTTACAATGTGGGTTTAGTGCTCTGGATCTGGGAGTGGATGTAGGCGCTGTCATGTCCATACGTGGGTGTAGTACATGATTGAGGTCTCCACATATTATTAAAGAAGTCGTGTTATGGTGGGAAATTTTGTTCAGTACCTTGTGTAGAAAGTTGTGTTGGACTGTATATCCCCACTAAGGTATATAATGCGTTGTTGATATTGCAGTGCAGTATGAGATAGCGTCACTGGTCGTCTTTTTTCATCTGTAAAAGTTCAAAGGTTAGTGATTTATGAAACAGAAAAGAGACACCTCTTGTTTTAGAGGAGTAAGTGGCGTGATATTGGGTTGTATATTCCTGTTTCCCAAACTCTGGGACCCTGCAGTGTGCAAAGTGTGTTTCTTGGAGATAAAGAATGTCTACGCTGTCCTGTTTAGCACCTGCTAGTAGAATCCTGTATTTGTGAGGGGTATTTAATCCCCTAACGTTATGTGATTGTATTTTCATATGTTGTTAGTTTTGGGGGAGCATCAGTTGTGGTTACATCTATGTATTCGTTTTGCAGTTTATGGTGCCTTTTTTCGAGGTGGGGAAAACATTACATTTTTGTAACGTGGGGTAGCTTTGCTCCATTCAAGCTGCAAATGACTAGTTGGTGAAGCCTGCGGTTCCAGTTCTTTTCCTGTGAGTGCCCAGAGGCGCAATTTTCTTATCCCGTCCTCTGGTGATGTGATAACTTGTGTGGATCCGTCTTTTGTTAACAGCATTTTTGTTGGGAAACCCCAGCGGAATCTGATGCCGTTGGACTGCAGTGTGTTGGCTATTTGTGAGAAGTCTTTCCTCCTGCGTAAGGTGGAGGCTGAAAGATCTGCGAATATTTTAATCTCTGGGAAGTCTGCCGGCGGTTTCACTTTGTTGCGGCTCACTCGCAATATTTGCTCTTTTATATGATGGTAATGAATGCGCATCAAGACATCTCGCGGAGCTGTTTCAGGCAAGAATCTTGGCCTTGGAAGCCAATGCACTCTATCTATGAGTAACATATCCGCTGGTATCTCTGGGACATATGCATGAAGGAGACCTCTAACATAGGTTTGTAGGTTTTCTGGTATTAAGTCTGGTATCCATCTGAGGCGCAGATTATTTCTGCGCGCCCTATCCTCCAGGTCAGTTAGTTTCAGCTCAGTAGCGGTAAGCTTTTGTTCGATCTGTTCCACATGTGTGGCCACATCATTATGTGCTGAGGCAAAGTCCTCCATTTTAGATTCAACATGTGTTGTCCTTTTACCCAGTTCTTGAACATCTTTCCTTAATGAAGCCATTGAATGCTGCCAAGTTGTAATCAGCTTCTGTGACAGTGCATCCAATGCCTGCTGTAGGTGACTTTTTGTGAGCTTGTCAGGGTCTGGATCTATCTCAGTTGGAGTGGGGCACTCTGTGCTGTCAGAGCTGGCTCCGCCATCTTGAGAGAAGGCCCGAATCTCCATCTGCTCGTTTTGTGATTTATTCCCCAAAAAGTTAAGTTTTTCTGCCTTTGTGGCGTTCTTTCCCTTTTGTTGTGCCATGTCCCCTTTGTTGTCTTTATATGTGCTCAGATTGTCAGGATGGCATCAGATTGTGACCCTGTGAGCCTGAGCTAAAGGATTATGCATCCATTGCTCTCAGCGGTTAGCCACGCCCCCCCTGCAGGCTTTTTAATGTAAACACACACTGTGTGCAGCACTGACATTGGTTCATATGGCAGATCATTTGGGTGGGGCATTGTGATGTCATATTTTTCTTTTACCTAGGGCGGCAAAAATCCATGCACCGGCCCTGGAATTAGGCAATATGCCCCAAGGAGGTTATCAGGTCTCATGAGAACCTATAAGATAAATTATAGGGGAGGAGAATAAGGAGAACCTAAAAATGGAATTATAGGTTGAAGGAAGAGGAGATCCTATAAACAGAATAAGAAGACAGAAATAAGAGTTAAGCAATATGCCCCAAACAAGTTATCAAGTAGCAGGTAAATCAAGAAAGAGAAAACCTATGAGAGAAATTATAGTTTACTGGGAAACATAATATAATAAAGACAGAAATAAACAACATATGGAGGTTTAACTAATTCGAGTAGGTAGACTTTTAGTTGATCAGTCTCTTTTGGTTGGAAGCAGTAATGCAATAATCCAATAGTTGGAAATAAGAAGGAAAATATTGTATTATTCAGGTTGCTTGTGTTGAATCTGGTAGTTACAAGGTAGGTTTGCAACAAAGTAGGAAGGTAATAGAGTCCAATATGAAATAAAACAGGTTAGTATTGATGAGTTTGGTTGTTGTAAAGTAGGGTTGCAATAAAGTAAAAAGGTAATAAAGTCCAGTATGAAAAAAAATCAGGATGTTATTGATGACAAGGTTTAGTTACCAAGCTTCTTGGGAAAGAGCAGACTGGAAACAATGTAGATTGGTTGGAAAATTCAGGATGATTCAAAGGTATTCAAAGTTGAACAGGTTTTCTCGATCAAGATCAGAAGTTATGTCAGGTTCAGAACAACAACTTCTATCATTGTGAAGGCAACTTGTGCAGCAGGGTGTGGCCTCTTATAGCAGATTTTGGATGATCATGCTATGCAGGTGAGAGAAACCTTTGATAGACTAGTGCAGTGGTTCCAAACCTTTTTTTACTTGAGTACCCCTTGGCAGTCCATCTCCATAAATTGTACCTCTCATATTAGCAAAATGTTTGTAATGAACATAGTTGCTGTTATTTTAAATATATTTGTTTTTCTCTGCCCCAGGCTCTCCCTGCTCTCCCCTCTGCCACAGGCTCTCCCTGCTCTCCCCTCTGCCACAGGCTCCCCCTGCTCTTCCCTCTGACCCAGGCTCTCCCTGCTGTCCCCTCTGCTCCAGACTCTCCCTGCTTTTCCCTCTGCCCCAGGCTCTCCCTGCTTTTACCTCTGTTTCAGGCTCTCCCTGCTCTTCCCTCTGCCCCAGGCTCTCCCTGCTCTTCACTCTGCCCCAGGCTCTCCCTGCTCTCCCCTCTGCCTGAGTCTCTCCCTGCTCTCCCCTCTGCCCGAGGCTCTCCCTGCTCTCCCCTCTGCCCCAGGATCTCCCTGCTTCTCTTCTGCACCAGGCTCTTCCTGCTCTCCTCTCTGCCCCAGGCTCTCCCTGCATTTCCCTCTGTCTCAGGATCTCTCTGCTTCTCCTTGGCCCCAGACTCTCTCTGCTCTTCCCTCTGTTCCAGGCTCTCCCTGCTTTTCCCTCTGCCCCAGGCTCTCCCCTCTGCCCCAGGCTCTCCAGTCTGCCCCAGGCTCTAACTGCTCTACCATCTGCCCAAGACTCTCCCCTCTGCCCAAGGCTCTTCCTGTATTTTCCTCTGCCCAAGGCTCTTCCTGCATTTATCTCTGCCCCAGGCTCTCCCTGCTATTCCCTCTGTTCCAGGCTCTCCCTGTATTTCTCTCTCTCCCAGGCTTTCCCTGTTTCTCCTCTGCCACAGGCTCTCCCTGCTCTTTCCTCTGTTACAGGCTCTCCCTGCTCTTCTCCTGCTATGAGGCTCTCCCTGCTCTCCCCTCTGCCCCAGGATCTCTCTGCTTCTCCTCTGCCCCAGTCTCTCTCTGCTCTTCCCGTCTGTCCTAGGCTCTCCCTGCTCTTCCCTCTGCCCAAGGCTCTCACTGCATTTCCCTCTGCCCCAGGCACTCCCTGCTTCTCCTCTGCCCAAGGCTCTCCCTGCTCTTTCCTCTGGTCCATACTCTCCCTGCTCTCCCCTTTGGTCCAGGCTCTCCCTGCTTTTTCCTCTGCCCCAGGCTCTCCCTGCTTTTTCCTCTGTTCCAGGCTCTTCCTGCTTTTTCCTCTGCCCCAGGCTCTCCCTGCTTTTTCCTCTGTTCTAGGCTCTGCCTGTTCTTTTCTCTGCCCGAGGCTCTCCCTGCTCTCCCCTCTGCCCGAGGCTCTTCCTGCTCTACCCTCTGCCCGAGGCTTTCCCTGCTCCACCCTCTGCCCGAGGCTTTCCCTGCTCTCCCCTCTGCCTGAGGCTCTCCCTGCTGTCCCCTCTGCCCCAGGATCTCCCTGCTTCTCTTCTGCCCCAGGCTCTCCCTGCTCTCCTCTCTGCCCCAGGCTCTCCCTGCATTTCCCTCTGTCTCAGGATCTCTCTGCTTCTCCTTGGCCCCAGGCTCTCCCTGCTCTTCCCTCTGTTCCAGGCTCTGCCTGCTCTTCCCTCTGCCCTGGGCTCTCCCTGCTCTCCCCTCTGCCTGAGGCTCTCCCTGCTGTCCCCTCTGCCCCAGGATCTCCCTTCTTCTCTTCTGCCCCAGGCTCTCCCTGCTCTCCTCTCTGCCCCAGGCTCTCCCTGTGTTTCCCTCTGTCTCAAGATCTCTCTGCTTCTCCTTGGCCCTAGGCTCTCCCTGCTCTTCCCTCTGTTCCAGGCTCTCCCTGCTCTCCCCTGTGCCCCAGCCTCTCCCTGCTCTCCCCTTTGCCCCAGGCTCTCCCTGCTTTCTCCTCAGCCCCAGGCTTTCCCTGCTCTTCCTTCAGCCCCAGGCTCCCTACACACACAGATACAAACACTCACACAAATATACAGATGCAGACACACAGATACAAACACTGACACACATACAGTTGTACAGACACACTGAATGACACAAATACCATTATTGACACACATGCAGTTACGATACACATATACAGTCACTGACACACATGCAGATACAGACACACATACAATCACTGACACACACATGCAGATACTCATTATCTGTATGTCAGTGATTGTATATATGTGTCTACGTATATGCATATGTGTCTGTGTGTGTCTGTGTATTGGCATGTGTGCCAGGGTGTGTATCTGTGTGTTCAATGTCTGTTTCTTTAAGTTTGCCAGTCTATGTATCTACGTGTCTGTGCATCTGCATGTGTTTCAGGGTATATATCTGTGTGTCAATGTGTCTGTGTTTCAGGGTGTGTATCTGTATGTGTCAGGGTATGTATCTGTGTGTCAGACCCACAGATACATACCCTGACACACATACACACATACACATCCTAAAACACAGATACATACCTTAACACACATGCAGATACACAGACACATATATAGATACACTGACATACATACAGACACATACTCTGACACACAGACACACTGACCATCAGATACACACTGACACACATGCAGATACAGACACCCATGCAGATACACACACATAGATACACACTGACACACTTAAAGATACACCCTGCCATGCAGATACACACCTTGACACACATGCATATACAAAGACACATATATACATACACTGACACACATACATACACACATACAGACACATACCCTGACACACTGACAAACAGATACACACTCTGACACACATGTGTCAGGGTATGTATCCGTAAGTGTGTCAGTGTATGTATCTAACACATAGATGCACACCCATACACACATGAGTATACACAGAGACACACACATTGACACACAGATTACTATACTGACAAACATGCATATACACAGACACATATATACATAAACTGATACACTTAAGGATACATACCCTGACACACATACAGATACACAGACACTGACACACATCCTCACGCACAGATACATACCCTGAGACACATACGCAGATACAAAGACACATAGATACATACACTGACACACTCAAGGATGCATACCCTGACACAGATGACACAGATGCACACCCTGACAAACATGCAGATACACAGACACACACACACACACGCTGACACACAGATACATATACTGACAAACATGCTGATACACAGACACATATATACATACACTGACACACTTAAGGATACATACCCTGACACACGTTCAGATACACAGATACAGACACTGACACATATACTCATGCACAGATCCTGACACACATGCAGATACACAGACACATAGATACATACAATGACACACTTAAAGATACACACCCTGACATACAGATACACACATTAACACACACATGCAGATACACAGAGATACATACACTGGCACAGACACTGTGCTGTGTGTGAGGAGTGTTCTGTGTGTGTGAAGGGTGCTCTGTGTGTGTGTTAGGGGTGCTGTGTGTGCACACACATTTTCTTAGGCCCCCCCATTGCTCTGTGTGTGTGTGTGTGTGTGTGAGGGGTGCTGTGTCTGTGAGAGGTGCTGTGTGTGTGTGTGTGTGTGTGTGTGTGAGGTGTTGTGTGTGTGTGTGTGACAGGGGTGATGTGTGTGTATGGGAGGTGTTTTGTTTCTGAGGGTTGTTGTGTGTGAGTGTGTGGGGGGTGCTGTTTGTGGGGTGCTGTGAGTGTGGCGGGGTGATGTGTGTGTGACAGGGGTGATGTGTGTGTGTGTAAAGGGTGCTCTGAGTGTGTGTGTGTGTGTGTGTAAGGGGTGTTCTGTGTGTTTGTGTGTGTGAGGGGTGCTATGTGTGTATGAGGGATGCGCTGTGTGTGTAACAGGGGTTATGTGTGTGTGTGTGGTGCTGTGTTTGTGTGTGTAAGAGGTGCTGTGTGTGTGTGAGGCGTGCTGCGTGTGTGTGTGTCTCCCCATAATGGTGGATAATAGAATCAATCAGGCAACCAATGCAAACAAGTT